TATTTTGTCTTAAGCTATCGGAGACAGTTTTCATCTCAAGGTTAAGGTTTCTTTTGAAATGATTTTTTTTTTAAGGAAGAAAGAAAAAGAAATCAAGAAACTTATCAACTATTTTTGCACAAATATTTCCTTAAAACATCTTAATTATTTTGCATTCTCTTCCACAACTTATATCAACTTCCTTGAATCAGATGAATATTTCATGAATCAATATTCTTAGTTTGATTTTCCCCATGAACTCTTTAATCCAGCTGTTACTTATTTCAATTAAAATGATGATCTTGTTTCATCCATTTAAGTGAAAACCAAAGAATTTCCTTAATTTTTGTTAAAAGGGGTATGATTGAACAATTGGAGCCACAGACAACACACATGTATATATGTATGCCAGTGCATGCAAATAAAAGTGTCAATTTGTATAGAGGGCAGAGGACAGTCTCAGTTGTCATTTCTCAGACATTCTCAACCTTATTTTGTGAGACAACTCGTCTCATTGGATTGTGAGCTTGCCAATTTGGCTATCCAGCTGGCCAGTCATCGGTAGAGTTCTGCCTGTATAGACAGCTCCTTTCAAGAACACATTTCTGCCGAAGCCCTTAATGTTAACTAGAAATATTTAAGCATCAAGGAAAGATTCTTGTTTTTTTTTTTTTTCAGAGAGATATGGAAGTATGCTTCTTTGTGGTAACAAACAAGAAGGTGTTGTGATGATTATTACATGGACTGGATGACCAGATTAGGTCATGAAACAATACACATTCTTTATGAAGTCAGTACTATTGACATATCTAAAAAGTACTTACTATGAACAGCCATGTATGAAGGTGAAATAGACCCCCAGATCCAGCTTAAGGCAGTAAGAATTTTCATCTTCTGAAATAGTTTTCCATACAAATTTAATACATAGTCATTAGATAGCTTCTCTAAGCCTGGTTGCTCAATACTGAACACAAGTATGAATTAGACAGACATCAAGGGTTGGCAGCAGTTAAGCTGGCTGGAATTTAACTTTATGAAACTGACAGATGACTCGTATGCACGGGGGAATTGATTCTATTAGCAGCATGGTAGTCCCTTTCAATCATGCCCAAAATATTTCTCCACACTGTGTTCCACTGCAAACTTAGCTGCACTGCTATGTGATTTAAACCTTGGCTCTGCGTCAGCTTTTATTTTTGTGCCAGACAGAGAAATCCAAAGATATCTGAAGGAACAAACTGCACGATGATGATGACTTTCCATAACACACTATTAAAGGAAGACTGGATTAAAGGGCCACACTCTCAGCTCAGTTCTGAAAATAGACTCCTTCCTTCACAGGAGCTGAATGCAATATTTTTTCAGAAGGAGAGCTACCGCTCTACCTACTGAAGATTTAAAATGACTCAATGATGCATTCGAAGACTGAAATGGTGCTAAATTTGGTTTTTATTTGTCTGAAGTAGTGTAATGTGATCATAATAGTAAGGCTCAATGTGATAAAGAATAATTTACCTAAATATCATTTGGTGGGTTTCAAGGTGACCGTTAAGCTCCCCCTTTCTCTCCTTAATGAACAGAGGATCATTTGGTCCTACCTTGTACTTATATGACTTCTTTAGCATTTATTTCAGTTACACAAAATGTGAAATGGAAGTGTGTGTCTCCTAGGTCAGCCCCCATGGTCCTTCAATTGTATTGTGTGCATTATAATGCAGAAGAGTGGTGACCCATAGAACTTGACTAGTAGGGTCACTCCCTAATTTATTCTACCCATTCTGGCCATCACTAACGTCTGGATGGTATTGTGAATGTGACATGTGGCTAATATAATGAACAATCTGAATTATTAACTAATTTAATTTTAGGTCCACATAAAGCTAGTGACTATCATATTGAGCATTTTTTCAAAATGGTCTCTGTCTCCTTTTTTGAGCACATAGGCTATTTTATTCAAATGGAAGATTAAAAATTCATTCTAATAATTTGTTTGTTTGCCTTTTAGCTTGCTTTTGGAAATACTGTGTCTGAGTCTTCTCTGGATATACAAAAGAAAAGAACACTTACAAAGTTGACTATTCTCTTGCTCCAAGTTTACCTTTGTTTCAAGCGTTAAGAAACTGGCTCTTATTTTGCACATCATTTTTCTCACTTTCTCACCTGATCCTACCTGGGTTATGATTTGCTTAATGCTCGTGTGGTCAAGAGTGACTATTAAATGGTACATCAACATGGCTTTAGAGCTGAAACAGAGTGTTTGATTTATTATATGCTTCCTAGAAGTGTTTCTCTCTCTCTCTCTCTCTCTCTCTCTCTCTCTCTCTCTCTGCTTTATTGTTGGCTGTCAATAAAAATATTTTGAAAACCATCTTAGAAATTAAAATAAATTATATTGTCTCAATTCATGTGGAAAACACACACTATGCCTCTTTCTCATTTTTATGATCATGTTTCTTTTGGCTTCATTGGGATAGTTGCCATTGAGTATACTAAGGATGAACACATTTCTGAGAAACAGAGACACATCACATAAGAAAGTAATACTAGATTTCTCCAAAATAGCATGTGAAGAAAATGCTCATGAAACAACTTGCTTTGAAGCTTCTAATTTCTCATATTTGCTTCCTCCAGGAACTCTTTGACACTCTCTGCATGCCTAGAACAGGCCACGAAACTAAAGTCCCCAGAATGCATTGACTTTTCCTTGCTAGGTTTTGATTTCCCATGGCTATGTTGTTTTTTCTTATATCTGAACAAGCTTGTTTAATTAATTATGGCCTCAGAATTTAGCCTTAATTTTGCCTGACAATTACTCTGACACAGGGGTATTCTCAAAGTAACTTTTGAATTAGGGAATATTGGAGACTGCACTATTAGGTGACCTACATAAATTCCTCTTTCTTTTTAATGTCGAGAAGTGCATTTTTATCTATGTACTGTTATGTGGTATTTAGTGACAAAAGTATTTCTTTCATAAAGGAGGATGATAGTATTTACTAAACTAGCATTTAATAAGAGAACAAAGCCCTGTGATAAGACTGAGGATACCTGAATAATGAAGACAACTTAAAGCCCAGTGGGGTAACACCTAATAAACAGAGACCCAAGTGAGGCCTTTTAAAATAATGACAAAGGAAAGTATAATGATTAGGGTTAGGATGGAGGAACTCAGCTGATTGTATAGCAAGATCTCAGAGGTCCTTGTGAAAAGGTGACATTTGTGCTGACCTTCAATGCTGGAAAGGGCATGCAAAGGGGTTGAAACAAAGGATCAGTCCCTCAAAGTGCTGGAGAAACGGGGAACCAGCACAGGCAAAGGCCAAAGTAGGAAGGACTTGACATCCTTGAAAAAGGAAAGGAGTCAATGTGCTTGTGGTCAGTGAGCAAAACCTGTGAAAGTACTTGTAGTCAGGCAAGTGGGTTACAGCCCACTAGGCAAAGACAACAAGCTGGCATTTTATTCAAAACAAACAAACTAATGTAAAAACAAAACATCTCCCCTGATGAATAGAAATCAGAAAAACATCAGCACATGCTTCAAGTCTTTAAAATAGAACTATGGAACCACAGAATGCCACTTCTCTTCACCAATCACTAAGGACAGGTTGTGGTACACAAGTGATGTTCATCTGACAAGGTTCTTATTCTACCTACATGTACCCTGGAATGAGCTTGGCTTCCTTCTAGAGAACAAATTTCAATGTTTGTTAACCAAGTACTTAGGTAGAAGATTTTCATACAAATGTGTTGTCTTCTTAAAATCTCAAATCTGAAAATATAGATGACAGGTTGAATTAAAACCAGATTTCACATTAAATGAAAAAGCAAAGAAGAAGAAAATAAACTAACCAGCCTATGCATCATGTCTGTAGTACTGTGTATGCACTTCCTCAGGAGCATACAAAAACACAGGAATAAATATGAGGCAACAAGAATTAGGGATGCTCCTGTAGACTTACAAGACTTGTGAGCACAAACACAAGGCTATTGTAAAGACTAAGACTCCAGCGTTTTTCATCACACATTCATTTACTTTGGAAAAAACAGGGTAATATTTCAGCACATTGACACTTACACATCAAAAACAATGCCTCTGTTGCTTCTTAGAAGATTCAGTTCCATTTTTAATTTAAGAAACTGAATTCCCCAGATGATATGGAGATTAAAATTGTAATTTGATAAATTTTGTGTAGTGTAAATTTGAAGACATTGTAGCTTGGAATTACATCCTCCAATGCAAAGTTGGTTATGTAATTGTCACTAGACAGCACGAATTCATATTTATACATTCATTTTCTCTCTGTATCTCTATTTAGAAACAAGGAGAAAAAAGGCAATATATATAACTTTAAATCATGACCTTTTAAATTGCTGGCTTCCCAGGGAAATACCGTTGAATTTACTGATATACAGTGCAATAAAAAATACATGCGATAGTATGTCACATTACTAACATAACTGATGTTTTAATTTATAGTTAAGATGACTCCATTTCAGCTAGACTATTGCTGTTTATATATTTCTACTCTTTTGAACTTGGTGGTTAAAAACTAAGATGTATGAATTAAAGTAGCTTTAAGTTGAGAAGGCATTTTTCTTCTTTTTTTTCATTGAAGTTTGCATTATAAGACAAGTGCACTCATTAAGAATGGATAATAGATCAATGTTTTGTGATCTCATACTTTAAGTTAGACATGATTGCATTCTTCCTTCCTTCCTTCCTTCCTTCCTTCCTTCCTTCCTTCCTTCCTTCCTTCCTTCTTACCTTGTTTTTTTCTCCTTTTGAAACAGAGGTCTCATGGTGCCTAGCCTGGCCTCAAACTATTTAGTTAGCTGAGGGTGTCCTTGAGTTCCTGATCTTCCTATTCTTATCTCTAAGTGCTGGGCTTACAGGTATGAGCCACCACACAAATTAGACAGAAAATTTGTCTCTTTCATGCTAGGCAGGCACTCTGCCTTTGATCTGTATTCCTTGCTCTAATAGCCTGTTTTTGAATTAAAATAATTCAGGAAGTCAAGTTTTTCAGTTCAAATTCAAACTTTAATATGAGATGTGTTAGCCTAATACTGATTTTAGTATCTTTTATCAAGGCACAGAGCACCTAGTGGATGGATTGGTAGCTTATAAAAATCTAATGGAGAGATAAAAAGGAAAAAAACAAAACAATAGCTTGTAACGTAGGAAAATTTCTACAGCCCACGTCAATGCTTGGAAAAATAAACAAGAGAGACAAAAATTTGTTTTCAAATAAATCTTTTAAATTCAGAGTTCTGTAGAACATTATACACAGGCCAATTATATTAGCTTTTCTCATATTAACTTTTAGATATTAGTTTCTAGAGAACACTATTGCTCAGCTTTCTTAAAATATAATTTCCCTTTGCTACAGTCTTCTACTGTATTTAAACAATCATGTACTGCCTTTTCTCTAAGCCTGGAGTGTAGATTTTCAGCAATTTGATACATTTCAGAAAAATTAAGAAGCCCTCTATAAATCTTTATGGATTCTGTATTCGTGTTCCTTTCTTTACATCTTCAGATCTTTAAACCATAGGTTTTGAGAAAGCACATGGGGGAAATGAATTGTAAAAACATTCATGGCAAAAGAATGCATAATACTTGACAATTGTATGAAAAGTAGATCTCGGGGATATGTCACAATTTATGAATCACTAAAAAAATATATCGCCAAAGGTATTCATGCACTGAATGATCTGCACGACTTAACTAAAACCATAGCGACACTAGGACTTGGTGCATTGAGGTTCTCAAGCTCTGGGGAGGGTTGCAGAAGGTTAGTTTTTTTAATAGTTTAACCAGCAAGTAGTAATGAAGAACTTCACTGAAGCGTCTTTGGTAAGTTCTGTGCCGTCTCTCACAAGTCAGACACATCTGTAAGAGTGAAAGTAGAAGTTGGTAAAATTGTTTTTGCACTCTGCAGATTGGATGAAAATCCACAACTTCACCAGTAAAGTTGTAATCCTCTAATCACTTGGTACTTTGTGTCAGCTTTTAGTTACATGGCATATTTTATACCATAATGTGGAGTAATAATTTCCAAATAACAATTATAGTATTTGTCAGTTCTTTCTTTACTTTCCTCTCTCTCTCTCTCTCTCTCTCTCTCTCTCTCTCTCTCTCTCTCTCTCTCTCTTTTTTTTTTTTTAGAGAAGGTGTTTTTTTATATTTTTGAGACAGGGTTTCTTTCTACTGTTTTTGAACCTTTCCTGGAACTCAATCTTTAGACCAAGCTGGTCTTGAACTCACAGAGATCCACCTGCCTCTGCCTCCCAACTGCTGGGATAATAGGTGTGTGCCACCAATGCCCTGTAGTTCTTTCTTGAGACATCAACTATACCAAATTTCTCTTGAGTTTTTGATCTTATTTCAAAGAGTGTTGTCATGAAAAAAAAGAAAGGTAAAGAAAAGTTGACTAGAATTTGTTTAGTTTTAGGTGCACATTGATAACTGTGCATTTTGCTACTAAGAATTTAACCTTACACTATCTTTTACACTTGAGAGTCCTGCAATATCTCAGAGTTCTATTTATATAAACAGTGATGTCAGAATCATGCTAAGATAAAATTGTTGATCTAAAACAATGATATGTGCTTTATATCATTAAAAGAAAGTCTTAATTCAGGTAGTAGCAACTGACTGCCACATCAAGGTCTGTGCTTCTAATGTCATGAAGTAGGTGATCTTGACTTGAATACTGGTTTATAATTACACCTAGGAAATCTACGAAAGTGTGGACAAAATATTTATTGAATGTGAGTTGCTTAAGTCAATGCCTCTACAGTCTCCAGACTTTAGTATGATGTAGTACTGATTGGAATAAAATATGTAAATATCAGATTATATCCCTTTCCAACATATAGTAGAGAAGAAATTGGCCTTTTCTCTGGAAACTTGTTCATTTCTAGCAGTTGTATGTGGACTTGACCTTCAACCAAGCCAATTTTCTTTGACTACGCAAAAGTTTCACTTTGAGTGTGAAACTCAATGTGAAACCCAGAAGGGAAAAACCCACGGCTAAGCCTCTTCCAAGGGAAAGCACTTCAGCCCCCACATAAGTGAAAAGGAGGCAGAGTATGCTTTCTCTGTGGCTTGCCTTGCAACAGTTAGGGCTGGGTGTATAGCTCAGGGATGATACACTTGCCTAGCATATGAAGGAACTTGGGTTTGATCCTTGGCACCAACTGTTTGACCAAAACTGACCAGTGATGCTCTCAACGAACATCAATAGCTTGGAATCAAGAAAACATGGTGGATCATGAAAAGAACATTGATCTAGAAAGTAAAACACCTGATTTCTCTACTTTGCTCTGCACTAGATCTTAAAATGTATTACACTAATGTCCACCAACAATTCAAATTTCCTGACTTGTTTGGGCTAAACAAGGTTCTATGTTCTCAATTCTGTAATCACTTGTTTGATGGTATGAACATTATTTAACAATGTTCAAATTCTTAACTTGTAAATGCCTTGCTGTACAAATTGCACCCACTGTTTAATTATAAGGAATATTGTGATAGTAAAAAATGTATTAGAAAAAACATAAATTTGAATGAAAATTATGTATTATTTTAAAGGTTTCTTTATCCATTCCAATCACAAACTTTCACATGAGGAAATAAATATTTGAGAAATCTTGGTGATAATGGTGGGAAATCATAAAAATAATCACTGAGATGGTGAATCCTCAGTGACTGGTGGAGAAGAGAGAAATGTGTGATGTTTAGCTTTCTTTTAAGCCTTCTCTGTGGTATAGCTGTCTTCAGGTTTGACCAGTAAGGGCCATATTTGTGAAGACACTCTAGAGTTTGATAAGTACATTTTAGTGCACAGACTTGTATATCACTATCATGTTTTGTTTTAACATGGTAACAGCTAGGCTATCTTCTTTCTGTGCAGGGTTCCTAGTGTGTGAATGTTCAAATGAAAATGAGCTTCCCGTATTGGCTCTCATGTGCACTTTGGGAAATTCAGAAATATTAAATAAAGCATGTGATAATGAAGAGTGGCAAAAGAATATGCAGAAACCAGTGAGAATTAATCAGTCTCAGAGTCATGTTAATGTATCAGGAAATTGGAAGATGTGCCCTTGGTTCCAGGAAGTACTTGGCTTTTAATGTCTATTAGTAAATTCCTGGTCAAATGTAAGTGCAGAAGTTGTAAGCAGACCCAAGGAATGATAGCATTTAGTCTATTTCTGGATATGAGGGAAACAGTTTTTTTAAGGTAGTGCTGTTCAAAAGGCAGTGTTCCTCTCAGCAGTCGGTGTATACTCCTGCTTCTGTGGGGACTCAGTGACGGCAGAACCTCAATAACAAAAACTTTTGAGAATGAACACATCTTTTAATCAAGTCATTAGAGTATTTGAAGGGAAAGAAAAACTAATATAATATAAATTATAAAGGATTAGGCCAATGTTGTGAAAGAAGCAGTAAACAGAATTCCATCTCTGTTCTGAGATGGTTAGAGCAGTTGCAGGTTGTTAGAATTATTTGGAAATAAGGATGCACCTTGCATCAGCTTTACTGGAAGAAAACATATTGCCTAGATTTCAAACTCACAAACATTTATTGTTTGTTATATAATATATTTCAGTGAAATAAAAAAGTGATTCATTGTGTTCCTCTAGTTTTCTTCCTATTGCTTTCTGACCCAAAGCCACTTAGGATGGAGCCTTCGTTTATACTTTAAAGTCACAGTCCATCACTGAGGGAAGGCAAGGCAGGGACACAAGGCAGAAACCTGGAAGTAGAAACCAAGATGTGCTATTGACTGGTCAGCTATCTGGTTTACTGCCATTCTCATACTTAGCTAGTTTTCTTGCACAGTCCAAGACCCTAGGAATAGTATTCTTTCTATGAGGCTTGGCCAACATGCCCCCAGGCCAATCTGATCCAGGCAATTTCTCAGTCAGGCTTTCCTCTCAGTGAGTTCTTTGCTATGTCAATATAACAATTAAAGTTAACTAGGACATATGCTAGTTATAATCTTAACCCTTCCTTGCCTATTAACATTAAACAATTGCATAGGATTATGTGAAAATGGCAAATGTATTTTCATGAAGCATTGGCATGAGTGACTTTTCTTTTTGAAAGATAAAATTTGGTATCCCTCAAGTGTGTCCAACCTACAACTTTTGAGCTGCAAATGCCTCAGGGTATCTATAAATGTATCACTATATAAGCTGTAAACTTCCTTGAACTATTAAAAAGACTTTGTGTGTGTATGAAGTTTTAAAACTTTATTGTACATTGAGTATGAACTTTGAAGATAGATAAAAATGTTATGTTGCTATCTCAAAAATTAGGACACTCTTGGTAGGATGTTTGTTTCCTTTCTAAAAGTTCTCTAAATTATTTAGCATCAATATGTTAATTGATTGAAGAAATATTTGCAAATGTGTGTATATATGCATACACACTATATCTGTATCTGTATCTGTATATGTATCTATATGACATTTACAAGTAAGCATGGCCCCAATCACCTAGTGTGAAATGCTATCTAGCATCTGCCCATAGACTGCTTGTAGGAATTGTACTCACAATGGGAATCCATCAGCCTCTGGAACCAGAAAGTCGGTTTCTACCAATCCGATCCATGGGGATACCGAACCGTTTTTTCGAATGATCTACTATTTTCCTGTAACAAACCATGGAGAATATTTTAAACCAATGTCCAAGTTATCAACCATTGCTTTTGTTTTTGATTTAATGCAGATCTGGAGCTCTCTTCGGAAGTGGAAAAAATGACAGATACTGTTTATCAGTTCCCATTCTCATCTCTGCCCATTTGTCAAGAAAACGTTTAGAGAGATGATTTGACTCCATTTGCCCCCATGAAAACCCAGGTCTTATCAGCATATTGAACTGCTAATAACCTAGTTGATAAATCCCACTACCTCTGCAGAGTTCATTCTCTTACTGCTCTTATGCCTCTGAATGGATTCTATTTAGAAGGATAAAGGTTGAAGACAGAAAAGTGTATAGATGCTAAAACTATTGTGGCAGAAGTCTGCCTCTAATTCCTTCACTTAGACATCTTGTACAGATGCTTGTATGTGATCATATGTGTCTGCTTAGGTATTTTCTGTATCAATCTTTGGTTGAAGAAATGAACTCTAATGATGTATTTTTCTGCTTGATGACTTTTGAATTAGTTACTTTTCTGTTGCTGTGATAAAACACCATGGCCAAGGTAACTTACAAAAGAAAGGGGTTATTTATGCTTGTGACTACAAAGGGATAGGAGTTCAGTACCATCACAGTGGGGAAGTGGCAGTGGGTAGCCAACTGGAGCAGCAAGCAGTGAGTGTGTGCTAGGGATGGTGGGAGGTTTTGAACCTCAGAGCCCATACTTACTTACATACCTCCTTCAGCAAAGCTACACTTCCTAAACTGACTCAAACAGCATCACTGACTGAAGAACACATACCCAAACATTTGAGCCCATGGGACACACTCATTCAAGCTTATCCCCACTTCTGTGAAGTGACTCTTACTACCTCATAAGATAATGTTCAACAACTCAGACCTAAAAATAAAGACTTGCTTCTGGATGTCTTCAATGGCTTTTGTTCTTTTTTTCCTGGTTACTTACATTGTGCAGTCAGTCTTACTCCATATGAATGAAAACCTCAATGATTTTTTTCACTATCATTCAATAGACTTTTCTTCTACATACTTTGTCCCTATATGCATAAGGAGCTTCTTTTGTGTATCCTGGGGTTCACAATCCGAAGTAGTATTTGTTTTCAAAAGCCTTGACTACTCTCAGAAGTGATGATGGCTGAAGACCAATATTACAGGAATAAATCTCCCATTTTACTGAGTCCAAGTTTTTCATTAATAATATTACTTTAAAAAAGCAATTCATTAATAGCCCTGAGGACATCGAGGGATTTTTTACAGCTACACCTTGCACATAAAATATGCAAATGCTGTTTAATTTACTTAACATAGTTAATTTGAAGATTGTTAGTATTTCCTGAGTGCTTTCTATAGGCCACATGCCTATATACATGCCTATATACCTATATATATACCTATATACCCACAGAAGCAGCTGACCTGGGCAAGTGGGAACACATGGACCCCAGTCTGACAGCTGGGGAGCCAACATAGGACCAAACTAGGCCCCCTGAATGTGGGTGTCAGCGAGGGGGCCTGGGCAGTCTAGGGGACCTCTGGCAGTGGAAGTAGTATGTATCCCCCGTGCATGAACAGACTTCAGGAGCCCATTCCCCATAGAGGGATACTCTCTTAGCCTGGATACACTGGGGAGGGCCTAGGTCCTACCTCAAATGACTTGACAGATTTTGATGATCCTTCATGGAAGGCCTCACCCTCTCTGGGGAGTGAATGGGGGATGGGATAGGGGGTTGGTGGGAGCCATGGGAGGGAGAGGGAACTGGAACTGATATATAAAATAAGATTGTTTCTAACTTAAATAAAATAAAAAAGAGGTGTCTTCTGTTTAATAGTCTTGATTTCCCAATTACCAATTGGGCATGTAGTTTCCAGCTTGTTAAGTAATACAAAACACATAATTTGTAGAATTAGCTTAAACCAATGGACAAGAGTTATAAGAAACTGGACATACTAGTCATACTTCAAGAGTTTTGTGTAATTATAAACAATGGGTGCTGGAATAAAAAATATTTTCTATTTTTTTAGCTAGGGTCTCACTATGTAACCCTAGCTAACCTGGAACTCACTCTGTAGATCAGGCTGGCCACAGATTACAGAAATCTTCCTGCCTCAGTCTCCTGAGTGCTGGGATTAAAGGTGTACAGAACTACACAGGTTCTCTGCTGTCCTGTAAATTAACTGACTTTACCAAAACTAACATAAATAGATTTATAATTCAACATTATTTTCTTTTGGTAATTAGCATAATGGCTTCCCACCAGTGTTGACATTGCAATTTCCAGAATCATAACATGTAATTTTATATGGACCTGATATCTTTTCACAATAGTTCTTAAAAGTAGCTGATAGCTGCAGAAGAGTACCTCAGACATCAGATAATAAGGGCAGTCTGAGAGGGACCACAATTACTAATGACAGCATGAAGATGGAGGAGCCATGAGTGAAGGAATGCTGTGGTCCCTTGAGGTTTGCAAGGAAAATGGGACCTCAGTCTTTCAAGCACAAGAGTTGAATTTGGCCAACAATTCAAGTGAGATGAAAATGTTTCCCCTAGAGAAAGCTAAAAGATTGCAGCCTGATGACACCTTCATATCATCTGTGTCCAGCAGTAAGACAAGCAAGAGTGTTCAGGAACAGACAAAAGGGAATTTATACACCATCATTGGCCAGAAATCAGCCACATCTCTACCTAACAGAAAAAGAGACTGGGAAAATTGGCCTGAAATGATGGAGTGTGCATGATAAGGGTATACTGAACCTTGACTGACAAAATTATGAGTTAGTAATTGATTGTGATTTATTATGGTACCAACAAGAACAAAGACATTTCTCTGTATGATTTAGAGCTTATGTCTAAGTGCTATGGGGCTAATACATACAAGATATTAAATTGATGTGCTCCCTCCCTTTAAATTGATTTCTTCATTGGCTATCCATCATTAAAATCCCAGGACATGTGTAGGAAGAAGCCAATATTGGACAGAGAGGAGAAAGTTCAGGGTAACAAGCTGAAAAGGAAGTGAAGATTCAAATCCTCCAAGGTTTTACAAAAGGGGAAGGAAATGGCAGCTGAGGGTTAAATGCCCTGCTTACTGTTCCCAAAGCCACTTTGCATTCAAGGGTGTGAAAAAAAATTCATTTGTTTAGTTTTTTAAAATAAGTGCACTATTCTCATAGAGTATAGAATGTTCATTGGTTCTCATAATTGTTTCATAAAACCAAGGTAAAAAAAAATGTAAAGGACATTTTTTGCAGTAGTTGTTTTCCTGCTGAAGCTAATGAGTAGAGGCTGCACTTGTGGAAAAAACAAAATAACTAACTTCCTTCCATTCAAACCCCACAACCATTCACTCTTCTTACTGTCCCCAGGTTAGATCTAAAATGTGTTAGGAACGAGGAAATAGGAGTTAATCGTTAATGAATTATTTTACTTAATGTTTCTGGGAACCTCTAAAATTCTGTTATTCTAAGGAATTCTTTATTTTCTGATAAAATTCAGATAATCTTGTGTTTTTATCCATTGGAATTGTTTATTCATTCAACACTCCTACTTGTTAGGTACTATTTGGTTATATTTTTGTTTTATCTCTCAGTGCCCAGTTCATGCTGAAAATGGCAATCGAGGTGACACTCACAGAGTCATTTACACATATCTTTTGCTTATGCTCCTGCTAGTCCTGGTGAATTATTTCCAGACTATTTGAACTACTTCAGAATGAGACACGTAGCACATCACTTTGTTCTAGCATCTTAATTACTTTGATTCATTTTATCAAATGTGGTATGATCAGCTACAAAAATGTACAGATAATTTCTCATGAGCTTGCACATATAATTAGGCTCAATATAGGAACAATTTAGCACATTAAAAAAAAAAACAAAACCAATTTTAAAAGTTCAATAAAGTCAAAATGGCTCACGAAGCCAAGAAGTTTATCTATGTTTTAGACCAATTCAGAGACAAAATGGCAAGCAGGTAGTTTTCTTAACATTTTTTTCCGGTATTAAATACATCTAACTCTGTAACAGATGCGCTGACAAAAGTACCCAGTGTGCACAGAAAGAAAGTTAGATAGTCAAATACCACACAGAGCAGCTGTACTTCTGACTATCTAGTCCCTCTTGTGACAAAATGATGTAATGACACAGCTTATATTAGATGCAGGTGAAGGAATCCTCCCTTTTCATGGAAAAGTACCCTGTGAGAAGTTAAAGAGATTGATTATCTATCGAACTAATACAAGAAAAACATTAGGATTGTTTATTTTCAATCTGACTTTTATATTTACAATAAGATATAGACTTCATGTCAAATAGGATTTTCTTTGATGTCTGTATATCCTTCTTTCTGAAGTTGGATTACCATTGTTAGAAGGCAATAGAAAACTGAGTTTAAGCATTTTATTAAGTATTACCCCATATATGCCAACGGGTCCATCAATTATCTGTGCCTGGTTTAAAGAAAATAAAAAAAAGTACATCTGTGCTTACAGCACCGGATACGGACTTTTACCTGCACAGTAAGCATCCCACTGTCTCCTGTCAAGTGGTATTCCAGTCCCAGCAGTCTTGTGTGGCCTCAAGCTTAGTCCAATCCTGTCTTTGACTCTCCTTATCTTGAGTTTATTGTTTAATGGTCTAATACATACTGCAGATAGCTTCAGATTTTGCTTAAATCAATTATGTGCTACAGACCTAATGCATAACCTAATACTAGTTATGATTGATAGTATTACTAGTGGGAATAATACTGTTACTCCTAATAATTGTATTATGAATTATGCCTATAGAACATATGATGCACTAGAAGTTTGTTAAAAGAGTAAAGATTGTGTTCTTATTTTAAAATCAGGTTTTGTGTGAAGTGATGTCTATGTCAACTAGTTTCTCTGTGGCAATTACTTCACAATGTATCCATGTATCACATATTATTTTTGATTTTATATGTCTTACGTTCAATCTCTCTTTCTCTATCTCCCTCTCTCTCGTGGT